AATAGATCAAAGCTTTTAAGATTTTATCTGAGAGGTAAAATATAAGACTTTTCACGGGAAAAATGAGACTGAAGCAAGATTCGTTTTACTGAAGAAAACCACAAGTGAGGTGATACCTAGCCAGTGAGTGCAACTCTTTGTCATCTTGTTAGGGTAGTTCTCCCGGGCAGAATGTCATTTCCAATTACATACAAGCTGAGCAATGGTCAACTATTGCCAATCCACTCACTGTAGCAAGTGGAAAGAAGTTAGTACAGACCCTTATAATTTCTATTACGTGAACAAGCTGAAGAACAGGCTTAGCAATAGAGTATACTGGCATAAAATTCACTGCCAGACAATTTATAAGGAAATGCAAATACCTTCATCAATACTCAGGCAACTACCAACATTCAATGAGAAGATATTTGGTCCAGAAAAATACTTCCATTAGCTACTGAAAAAGAAATATGACTACAGAAAGGAATAATAAAAAAATGAAGAAAGCAGTAATGATGTAAAAGAAAGTTAAATGAAAGATAATTAATGCATCAAGATACATGGAATCAAGTTAGTAAAACCCCTAGTTAGCATAATAAAATGATTACAAGGATTACTATGAGTACATTCAAGTTTTTTTTAACTCTATTTGTTCAAGGGCCCGGAGCACTAAAAATGATCACTCTCTTCTGTAAGCCTGTAATATCTAGTATTTTCTGGGGCCACCTGACTTGTAGTGAAGTATACAAAGAAATAAAAGTAATTCAATGAAACACAAAGATGAAAGAGGAAAATGTGCTTCTGTGTCACTCTTGGAAAATGTGGACTTGCAGAATCTTTACCATAAATACTATGAAAAGAAACCCATAGAATAAGATATAGAATGTGATTCAAAAACGTATGATATAGTAATAAAAGATGAAAAAACATTGTCTTAATTTAAAAATATATCTGCTTCCTTCAAAATGCAATCTACATATCAATTTTGGAATTTAAGTAAAAGGACAAAAAAGAGAACACCTTTAAGTTAGAGATAATCATATTACCTTAAGGAAATAATTCTTGGTTGCAAAGTCAGCTGGATAGAATGACGTGTTAGATACATTAGTGGAGAGTGTTTCATGGAGTCTGGTATGATAAGCCTTTGGCGTCACTGCTGTTTTATTTTGATGAAGTGCAATGCACTAACATAAGTGGCAATAGGTATCGAACACTCAAGTAATGAGTGCTTTGAAGCATTCCAGCACCTAGTCTCATAGAAGCCCTCTGAGTTACCAATTATTAATAAACAGTTGTAGAATCTGAAGCTCAATGATACCATATAGCTGGAATAAATCTGTAGAGTTCCTTATTGGTAGATGCAGATGATATGTACAATGTTCTTAATTCTATGTAATGTATTTTTATGGGACGTCTAATCTTAGCCATCCTCCCATAATATTGTTTAATTTTGGTTATTAAACCAAAAAATTTCAGCTCAAGTTTTAACCAAACCAAATACAATTTATATATACATGTAAATAATTAAGTATAATTTGAGAAAGGCTATATTAGTCTCAAAGAGGAGAAAATCGTTCTTTATATATTCATTGTGTTGTAGGATAAACTAGTATGATAAGTACCTGTGGATATATATGTAATATTTCTACCACTTGATAAATTTTATATATAATTTCAGGTTTGTAATAGAAGCATCAGTCTGGAGAAATGGATTAGTGGCTAAAAGCCTTGAGTGCTCTTTCAGAGAATCCAGGTTTGATTTCTAGCACCCAGATGGCAGCTCACAACCATTTGTAACTACAGTTCCAGAGAATCTTATGCCCTCTTCTGGCCTCTCTCCAGCACCATGTACTCAAGAGCTGCATAGACCCATGCAGGCAAAACATACAAATAAAATAAAGTAAAATAAAATGAAAATTACATTTTCAACAGAAAACCACTGCCCTGATATTTTCAGTTTTTATTTATCTGTTTACTTTCTAAGTTTTGAGGATTGAGCTCAGTGCTCCCACAAGCAAAGTTCTACTTCTTAGCTTTATCCTCCATCTAGCATTAACATTCTTTAGTGCCTGCCAATGACAAATTTCAGGAACATTTGAGTCGTGTGATGAAAAGCATTTCATGCGCTCCTCCCAAATATTTTGCTAACCTCCTAATCTATCATTTCATAAATAAGATCTACTCAACTTTCCATTGTAGCTGGAGTTTTCTTCAGTCCTGCCTAGTCCACAGTCAGGACAAATCTCTGTCACCCGCCAGTCCCACAGCCACTTTGACCCAACCGATTAAACACATAGAGACTTATATTGTTTAAACGGTTTGGCCTAATGGCTCAGGCTTCTTGCTAACTGTTCTTATAGCTTAAATTAATCCATTTCCATAAATTTATACCTTGCCAAATGGCTTGTGGCTTACCAGCATCTGCACATGCTGCTTGTCATGGTAGTGACTGGCAGTAACTCCTCTCACCTTCCTGTTCTCTCAATTCTCCTCTCTGTTATTCCCGCCTATACTTCCTGCCTGGCCACTGGCCAATCAGTGTTTTATTTATTGACCAATCAGAGCATGTGACATACAGACCATCCCACAACATTCCATCCATCATTAAAAGGCAAAGAAATGTATTAATGAGACCAAAGGAAAACATGAATTTACTTTTCCTATCCTTTTCTCTTTATTTTTATTTTTAAAAAGTTAACTAAATGATTGTAAATGGTAGCTACATTTTTTTCTTCATCATGTTATCAATGTGGACCCAGAACTTCATTGTATTTCTGAAAAGAAAATCCAAATCTATCCATCAAATAATTGTAAGGCCCCAGACTCTTAAGAACCACCATAGGTAAAATACCTCAGGACATTGAAATGAACAAGATTTTGTTTGTTTGTTTCAAATTACAGGAAAGCAAAGCAAAGCTAGAATGTGTCATATACAATGAAAATGCTTCTGCAGAGAGAAGGAAGCAACTGCAGTGAAAAGGCGATCTGTGGAATATTTGAAATCTAAATACCTAACAAGAAAGTGATAAAAAAATACTCAAAGTAATTGATAATAACCCCCCATTTAGTTTAAAAATAAGCTGAGCTAGCTAAATACACACACTGATCAAACTCAAATGTTTCATGGGATCCCTGTTCAACAGATCAAGAACGTCTTCTTCCGCAATTACTCAGTATATGAATCTCATCATCAGTTCTCAGCCCACACTCTAGGTAGCATCTCAAATATCTTTGTTCTTGGACCATTTGATTTGGCCTTCGTCACTCTATGCTGTACAGAACAACAGCCCTGTACAGCAGATGGTACAACTGAACATCTTTAAAATGCTGTGTAATCATCATTTACTGTTACACAACGATTTCATGACTCATCAAATAACAGAATGATTACACTATGCTTGAACAAACAATGTCCATGAGTAGAGTCGGCATTCTGCAACTGAAAATAGTATTTTATCTCGGTTTCTTATCATTCACTCACTGAATTAAAAATAATATTTTTCTGAATGTTTGTTTTATCCAAGGTATTGAGTTAGGAGCTTAGGGGGATGGACATACACAAAAGAATATATTCCCTAAAGATATTATTGTTTGAACATTAGACATTTATATATAAGTAATTAAAGATAATATTAGGGGTGAAATGAATACAGCAACATCAGCTAAAACACTATAAAAAGCTTAGCCAGCTATAACTGCATGTCTGTCAGCAAGTGTTATTTTAGGTGACCTTTGAAGAAAAGTAAAATATTGATGGATGTGACGAGTAATGTGTAGAGAAAAGGAAAAAAAAATCAATGATGAAGGAATTATATGGTAAAGGACCCTGAGAAGAAAAATGTACTTTAAGTCCACAGAACAGAAAGTCAACAGTGTGTTTGGAATCCAGGATGTCTACAGAGATGAGCTCAAATAAGTGACTTAAAAGACAGCATGGTTCAAAACCATGGAGGTTCTTGACTTGTAACATAAAGATATGAAACTCATTATCAAAGAGATGGAAGCCATGGGTTGGATTAGCAGAAAGTAACATAATACCCCGTGATTTCAATTGACAAAGCAAAACCCATGCCTGCCATTTTCTTGTTGATATCACCATTCCAATCATTCCTCACATTTTAACTTATGTCTGACAGTCAGTTTCACTCATTTATTACAGAGGAAGCATCATCTCCTTTTTTTTTTTTAAAGCTTTCACATTTTGTTTCTTAAGGTAAACGATGCATTATTTCCATCTTCCTTCTTAGTATTCACATTACACATAATTTGATCATTTCCTATGTGATATTCATCCTAGTAAAAATCATCTCCTTCATTTGACATGAGTTTGTGGGTAATTAATTTTGGTCTTTGTTATCTGCAGTTGTTTCCTAGGATGTTGACTTCTAGGTATTTAAAATAATTCGTTTGACTGGATGATCAAAACTATGACTTGGTAAGCAAATTCGTTGCCACTGCAGAATATACACTAAGCAGGCAACAAAATAAAGTTATGGATAATTGCTAGATGGTTACTGTTATGTCATGGGGTTTGTGAGAGGATAATATAAGAAGATGAGCAAAGAAGTGAAACACAAAAGAAAAAAAAACCTGACTTCATGGGACACGGACATGAGGACCATTGTGTTGGGAATAACCTTAGCAATTGGAAGTAAGTTTGCATATTCACTATAAAAATGACTTTACTGAACAAAAATGTTTTCTTTTTACATGTTTAGTGTATCTATGGGAGCATCCAATTATCACCATGTCTATAAACTAAAAACCCATTATATAGAAAGAGGGAAGCTGTTATTTCTTCTGCCTTAAAAACTTAAAAAAGATCCTTCAGTATTTTATAAGCTCTGAGACCATAAAAGGTTGTAAGAAATCAACTATATATGTGTGTGTGTTCTTTAGATGTAAGCAATATCCAGTATTTTCAACTAATCTTTTGATTTGAATTTCAGAAGTGCAAGATCTATTTGCCCTCTGCCTAAGCTAATTCCAAATTCTGCTCTTCTTCCTTTGCATTTTCACAGTATGCTGTCTGGCTAGTCCTCTGGGTGACGTGGAACGTGTTTGTTATCTGCTTCTATTTGGAGGCGGGGGATCTCTCAAAGGTAATTTGCCGTGTGATTTGCCTGGGTCATCACTCCTGCATTAATGAATGTCTTCATAAGTTAGGCCAAGTCTCTCCTAGCTCTTGTCTTCTCTATATGGTGGGTGAAAGTGAGGTGAAGGGTATCTTACTCTTACCTCTGTGTTTCTGTCATCACAAAGATATGTGTGCTTTATAACAACATTAACATGAGATGTATATTATAGCACTACCCATGTACTATGCCTTAATAACATCCATGAAAGAATTCTAATGCCAAATAGTATATTTTTCAGAGACAACTGTCTTTAAAATTTTTTTGAAGTCACTTCACTTCCTTATATTCAACAATGTTTTCCTGGTTGAACTTAAATCAGAATACAATAATTTAGACAATCCATAAACCATTATCAGAAGACAATAATTTATTATAAGAATGAATAAAAATAAGTACATTATTCTAACATAGTCTAGGAGATGTACAATTCTTAGTGTTTTCATTGTGATTTCTTTATGTAGTGTGTCAGGGGCACAGATGTAATTTTAACATGAATTCATTTACTATTGAAATAATGTGGTCTGTAGACCTCTAAAGCCTCCATTGTTCTATTGTAGCACTGTCGCAGCAAATAAGTCAGTAAGGCAATCCCTCTGCTTAAGTAAATCTTGACTCTGGAGAGAATGACCAAGTTCTTTTTGGTGATGTTGGAAGATAGAAGATGCGAAATATTCTTTTGCTATCACTATCACATGAGTAAGAATGTTTGAAATATACTGACATCTTTAAAACCCAGGACTCAGAAGAAGAAAAGTCTCTAGACTACACTTCCCCATATCTACATATCTGGTCAGGTTTGAGAAATAGGGGCTGATAATATCCATGTAGGTGTTTGACGAAATATTTAGCATTTTAAATAGTGTTCACTTATCACTTAGTCTGTGCTATGGATTTATGTCAAGTAGAAATCATTTTGATTTATTTTGGTTCAATGACAAAAGATGGAGAGAAAATAAGAGCATGACCTTATGGGATGAGGGAGAATCTAGGGATATATTTGATGATCAGATTTGGGACGAGTTCCTCACAGTCAGCCTGGATAATGACCATTCTGATTTGTACAGAGAGTCATTCTGTATACTGTGGCAGCAGACAGCCCATTTGGGAAGGAGCTGTGACCAATGGAGAAAAATTGTTCTGGCTGCTCTACGAAAACACAGATGAAATCGCTGCTTAAAAGGCAGCATGCTTTCCCAGGGACGTGAATCAGTCCCCCATTTATATATCTTTGCTGTTCTGTAATCCACTTTCTTCAAAGAAATTCCACATTAGAATGGCATTGAACAATAGTCTCCATTTTAAAAAATCACCTTAAAATTGTAAGTCAAGTGTCAGGAGAATAGACAGTGAAATGATTCAGCAAACCGGAGTTTATTTAACATAAAAACACCGAGAATGAGAGCTAAGTCAAGCTGAGTGCACAGATGCTCTCTGGAGGTAGTAAACTTTCCATGTGTATCTGCTGAGACAGAATAGAGATTAGAATCTCATGGCTTTGAACAAGATCATTACACAATTGTGAGGGCACACCCTGAAGCTCTAAAGCCCAAGTAAGCTGCAAGCTGAAGACTGAGAAAACTTATTCTCACAGAGATGTAATGAGTGTCCATAGTCAGCAATGAAGCAGTTAACAGCATTTTCTTGTACACCAAGGCTTCAGAATACATGAAAACTTAATCATCTTCTTTTAACAAATAATCTCAAATAAAACCATAAAGGACTAAGTTCTATAGTTATCTATTCTAGGTTTTCTTTCCTGCTCGGAGGATTTGAGAAAGGTGTGATCGTTGTAGCATCTAATTCTTTAGTTGTTGTAAGTAGCTCATGCTTTGTAGGGAATACAGTGCTAGTAAGAAGCACTGGTGACTGAAAATGTACAGATTCATAAAAAGGCAATAATGGCTCTGTTGAGACTGCTTACATTACCCAGATTATAGCAGATGAACCATCATTATTTTCAACCCTCTAAAAAGTAAGACATTGTGTATCACATCTGAAGGCTCCATTACTTGAATCTCAGGGATAAATACAGGAAACAGAATAAGAGAAGGCATTCAGTGAGATGTACATAATGAGACAGGTGTGTCTTTTTCCATAAAATATGAAAATAAGTATTCATTTACAACAAATATAGGCAAGAAATTATAAATTTTAGTTAGTGATGTAGATATAAAATTTTGGGTTCTCCTTTCTATAGTGCTATCCAGTTTCTTTTCCTAAGCAAACAATTTTCTATGTGGTTATGAACTACATACAACCGTGAATGAACTCCGTGTCTACAATCAGTAATTATTTGATTATAATAATATAATACATGAGACTAAGCTCTTCGATCTTTGGTTGTCTTTGTATAAATAGTTATATGTTTATTGCTATGAAAATACAGCACTATTACCAAAACTTAAATGAGTATGTTAGAAATTAGAGAAGAGGGATTCTATGAGCAAGGGGCATCAAGAGCATGATGCTGAAACCTACAGAGACAACCAAACCAAACTATTGGGAACTCATGAACTGTAGACCAACAGTTTTGGAGCCTTCATGGGACTGGACTAGGCCCTTTGCATAAGCGAGACAGTTGTGTAGCTGGATGGGCTTAAGGTGTCCCCTGGCAGTAGGATCAGAATCCATCCCTGGTTCACGAGCTGGCTTTCTGGAGCCCATTACCTGTGGTGGGACACTTTGGACAGCCTTGATGCAGGGGGAGGGGCTTGGACCTGCCTCTACTGAAAGTACCAGACTCTGCTGACTCCCCATGGGAGGCCTTATCTTTTGGGGGTAAGGAATGGGGGTGTGGGTTGGGAAAGGAAGGCTGGAGAGACAGGAAGAGGGAAGAGAGGGGTATCTGGGGTTGGTATGTAAAATGAATAAAACAATCCTTAATTAAAAAAAGAAATTGTATCTGTAAAGAACTCACAAAAGGTAAAATTAGTTTCATTTTTATCAAATAGAGAAAATGCTTTTTGATTTTCTGTTAAGTTGACATATAAAAGGAATAGATAGTATCATAGCAACAAAACACCCATACCACAGTAACAATTTCTACATTATTTATATTAGTAGCTAACACAATAGTGTTTAAACTAAATATCATCAAGTATCATATAATGCGTTATTCCTTGAATTGGTATTTTAATAGATGTCTTATTTGGAAACCAAGAAAAAATAGGTTTTCAATTTATTGTATTTAGTAACTTTGTTTGAAGTTGCCTTTGAACACTAAATATGAAATGAACCCTTGTGTTAGGAGTTTTGAGAAGTCTTCTTTTGTAATCTTCTTATTTCATTAAATTATACTAGGTAATTATGTTCCTCTTATCATTTTTACATAGAAATGAAAACCCATCCTATCCATCAACTAAATTGAATTATTACAAAAAGATGAAAGATACACCATTTAGTCTATAGTAATCTTTAGGTTCAAAGTACATAACTGAACAAAAACACATGTATTACAGTGATTTATTTATTCCTTTCTTCATCTGGGATGAGAAAATAAATTTTCATAGTAACACATTAGAAAAAAAGCTTATTGGTCTACCCAAATGCTGCAACAATGAAATTGTTAGATTTGAAAAATTGTAAGCTGCTCCAGCGGAAGCTGTGTGTCACCACATCTTCTGAAAGGGCTGTTTTGAGGTGTCCATTCATGCCTCTTCTGAGGAGAATCATTAGTCAATGGTGATCATGTTTTATAGGAATAAAACACTAAGCTTATAGAGAAGGCAGACAGGGGAATTACTTTATACTCAGGACAGAGCAATTTATTTTTCCTTAAGCCCATAAGACTAAGGGCACGGGTATATATCTGTCAGATTTCACTAGACATTAGAAATTTACCTAGCGAAACCTCGGTGTTAGTACTTAATTATATCTAATGGTGTGTGTGATTCAGAAGTATATGGAGGCTACTTCTAGAAAACTTTCACATTTTAGTGACTTTCATAGTTGTTTCTAGGATCTAGATGTAATTTATTATTAGATGTTGCCATCTGAAGGAGCCAGATAATACATTCAATTCAAGCTTTGGGGATAAAAGTGTTCTCTTCTGTAAGAAGAAGAAAGAAGATTAAAAACCTTCTGTACACTGTAGGCTAAAAGGAACAAATCCTTAAAAACAGAAATGAATGGTAGGCAGAATAATAGACTATTACAACAATTGCAGTTTGTTTTTTTCCATAACAAAAAGTATTCATTTGTACATATTTCATTGTACATATTTATTGTACAATATTGTACATATTTATGTTCAATGAAGTCAATGTTTATATCAAATTTGTCTTCTATGACCTTGGATATAAAAATGAAAGGTGAGACATATGCTATAGTCATTTTACTTATATTGTTTCTTCAAAAACTAATATTCGTTTTTAAGGGAGACATGATTGTACACACCTGTAACCCCAGCTACTAGAGAGGCAATCAGAACAACGTCAGGTTCAAAGCTTGCCTAGGCTGTATGGGCAAATAAATGTGATACTGTCTAAATATAAGAATAGTAAAATGAGACAAGGATGTAGCTACACAGTAGAGTGCTTACTTAGCAAGCTAGAGAACCTGGGTTCAATACTTGCTATCACAAAGAAAAAGACTAATGTTAAGTATCAACAGGAAAGTATATTGGATCCATATGGTTTTTTTTAGGTTTAGCTTTCCTTGGTGTATTAGTTACTTTTCTGTTGCTGAGGTAAAACACCATGAGCAAGGCAACTTGTAGAAGGAAGGGTTTGTTTGAGCTTAAAGCTCCAGATAAGAGCCCATCGTGGCAGGCGGGCATGCATCAGGCAGAGGCCAAGGGACTGGAGCAGGAAGTAGGAAGCAGAGAGCAGGAAGTGAAAGTGGAAACAACACATGTAGCTTTAACATCTGCTGATGTACTTCCTCCAACAAGCCTGCATCTCCCTAACCTTCCACAGAGTGCCACCAGCAGGATCCCAACTGTGGTAGACATTTCTCGTCACTGC